AATTGTACTAATATGTAAAGACCAAATATAACTTATATCATCATTAAATATTTTTCTAATAAACCAATAAAACTTCAAAATCATTAAAATTCATAACTATCACCGCATTACATCGTTAAACAACTAGTAAATTACTAAAATAAGATTTCAAAGAACTTTTTTAAAACCAATAAGATCGAATCGAACACTTTGAAACCCAATCCGAGATGTCGATTCAGTTTGACCAACTTTTTGACTTAAAAAATTAATAAAAAATAATGTTTTTTTGGGATGACGTTTTTTTAAATATAAGGATTAACAGATGGCCACGTGTATCATACAGCAACCATACGGTACATTATGGAACAAAATGTAACATGAGAAACAACAACTGATTGGTGACACGTGGATGGTGTATGAAACAGAAGCAGTCATGACCGTTGGATTGTTGTAATGAGTCAAAGATCTAGAGAATATATTACTATTTAAGGGATCTTATCTAACAGTCGAATATGCCTTCGCTTTACTATATTAATTCATAAGACCATCCACTCTCTTTTCTGCATCGGCTCGGCTCGGCTCAGTTACATAGTTAATTATGTTTTCGTCCATATAGTTTTATGAAATTCCAGATATCGTCCCTTGAGTTTCCAAATTACGAACATTTCTCTATTATTTGTTATAAGTTTAATCCCTCACCTAATGGGGCTTAAAAACCTCTAGTTAAGGTTATGTTTAACAAACTAACTGATAAGCAGCTGATATTAAACTATTAATAATTAATATTTAGAATAGTTATTTATAGTTAATATTAATAAATAATAATTAATATTAATGAGAGGCATAATTGAAAAAAGTGACTGAAATTCCTCATAAGCTATTCCATCCAAACATGTACCCGAACTAAACATACCAAATATTCCAAATCCTTCCATAAAATTCAAATCCCTTAAAATTATTCCATCAAACCAAACAACCCTCAAGTGATTTAGGTTTTTTATACTCAGTTTCTAAATGTTACAATCAAATTATATATATAATATAACCAAAATGCCCTTATGTGAGAGACACATGGAGACAATTAAAGAAAGGCATTTGTGGTTTATTAGGGTAACATATCATATTCATAATAAAATACAAACAACGAGAAAAGTTTATAATTTAAAACTCGAGGAATGATGAATGGCGAAATGAACGTTTATTTGAGGGTGTCGATGGTGGTGCGAGCTACCTTAGCACCCTTGTTGTCATAAGACCATCAAAAACTAATACTAGTTGTAGACTCCAAGCTTGTCAATGACCTTTAACATGTGATGTTAATTCTGAACCTTAAGTTGTTCATAAAAACAATAGTTTTCACTTGCATTGATTTACATGCTACCACTGACCTGATGTGGAAATTTAAATGTTGACAATCAAACTGTAGTACCGTGTCCAATTTGTGGCCCTCATCTATTCATGATCCCTATCACTACCTAAACCCTAGTCACACCGTAGTTTTCATCGTCCACGTCACATATTCACTAATGGCATCTATTATATATGTGGTCATTGTATAATAGCCCAAAATTTGGGACAAAGAAAAATTCCATGGATAGACAGGAAGTGTGGTATACAAATATCAGAATACGAGCTTTACACAAAAAGGAAAAGATATACACCAGTTAATTACAATTGTAAGTAAATTGGTTTAAGATTAACAACCTCCTAACCTAAAGACTATGTCAGCTCTTGGTGTCCCAAATCCCCGAAGCTCTTTCTATATTGGCCGGTCAAACATGCTTAGGAATCCCGCCAGTAGGACATGAGATACATGTCGACACAAAACAAGTGTTAGGTCAAAAATCCTAGTGAGCATGAACATGAAGTAATAGTTAAAATCTTTTATAATCCATGTATAATTAACATTCGTATGGAATCAACAGGGGAGACGCATATCCATTGAGAGTGATGGAAACACATAAGTATGTCGCTCATACAACATTGTTCCATGACACTTGAAGACTTATAGTCCAAGTGTCCTAACGGCTTCTTAACAAGTTTCACATGAAGAGTCAGTTGGCCTTAGTATCTATATCCATGAATAACACCTCAAGGATCGACACACTTAATGCCTACCTCCAAGGTAACACCTCAAGACGGGGAGTTCTTGGTGCCTATTTCCAAGGGAAAACCTTAAGACTCAACCCTCCTTGTGCCTACTTGAAGAGTGCACCCAACCATCTATTAACAAGTATGGGTGTTCATTTAACTCAACAGGGGAAAAATAGCTCCATGCTTCATAATAGAAAACTTAAAATCATCCCACCAGGCTTATCACATTATAAAACCCTCATATTCATAATAATCTCAAATTAGGTCAATAACTTCACATAATAGAAATCACATGAAGACCTCAAGACTTTAAACCAACCTTTAAGTGATCACTTTTCAAATAAAGTTTAACCATAGAAAGGAAGATGTAAGTTCATGAATCCTTTATCCTAGAAGTCCTTCAGTGCTCCCAAGAATTCGATCTTCTGGAATTGAATGCTTCTATGCCGAATTTAATAGGAAGGGGAAGAGGTAGATTTGAGAACTTAATGAGATAATGGCTGAAATCTCACATTTATGTCACTATTGCGATGTGCGACCTTAGCATGCCACCCTAGGGTCACGACTCAAGGGTCGCCCATGCCCAAAAAGGGCCACTCACAATATAGAAAGTGCAAAGCTGGTCGTGTGATGCATGGGTCACAGATCAAGGTTCAAGGTTCGTTGGTCCCCAAATCTCCCAGCTACGGTATAAAACTTGTGAGCCTGATATGTGATACATGGGTTAAAGTGCTAGGGTCACAACCTCCCATCATTTGACATTGAACAGATCCCTAACTAGCATTAAGCAGATGTGTCTTGCCCAATATAATAATCATAAGCAAACGATTCGCCGAATATGAATACCAAAAGTAAACCCAAGACTAAAATAAGTAAGGCTTTGAGATTACATTTACTCAAATTTCCGGGTGTTACACATTGATGACCCACGAAGGATCTAAAACACATACTGTGGTAAGTAATATGTCAATAAATGATCTGAAATTGCATGACTATGTGTCTGATGCATTTGGTGTTTATGAAAAACACATATTTATGATATAAGATACTTTAGATCTAAAGAACGTCTTTCAAGTTTTGAAATTTGAAATAATCAAGAGACACAAAGAAGAACAATATCAACATGCACGTGCTTGAACATCTAATTATTAGTCAAAATTAAATCTTCTTATATATGTGTCAAGTCAATAAATGCTTTTATTTAAGATTCAAAACATGATAGCAATAATATGTATGCTCTGAAAATTGATGTACTTTATTTTTGTGGTTTGGTAGATATTTTTGATAATTGATGAATGGTCAAAATACAGTTGATTTTTTTTTATTTTTTAAATTTATAAAATTCAATATATAAGTTAACATTAAATACCTTATTTATTACAATTAACTTTTACATTAATTAGAGTAAATTACAAATATCACCCCTGGGATTTGTGAAAACTCTGGACATCATTCCTAACTTCTGGAAATTAGAAGAATTGTAATTGTGATTTGTATTTTGTTAAGCTTTTGGTCCCTGATCGTTAGGTTCGTTACCCTGTGCCATTAAGTGTCATCACGTGCTAACAACGTAAGGGGCATTTTGATCATTTTACCAATTTTTTAACATATTTTTTGTATGCAATTTTGAAGTATATGTACAAAGTGAAATATTAAAAAAAAAAAAAAAAAAAACTAATCCCCTCACGTGACAGTCCTCTCCATCTTCATCCTCGACGATAGAACTCCCCCATCTTGACGACTGCACCACCCCCGCCCCCGCCCCCGCCATCTCAACCGAAAACTTCTTTGAAGCAAGCTCAATAGCACCATGAATGGCAACACCAACATCCTCTTTTACTTTGTCTCCTAAAAAACAACCCAAAAGAACATCCTCTTTTACTCTGCTCCCTTGCAATTCTTATGACTAAACTTAATACACAAAGGCAACATTTAACATCCTCTTTTACTCTGCTCCCTGAATAACTTCCAAAGAAGTGGGATTACCCTTTTATCAACAAATAATATCTCGAAGATTGGTGGGGAAGTTGCAATCCCTGAGGATGAGAGTGACATGGTCGTCATAGAAACGCAGAAGGATGTGTAATGTGAGGGGGATGTCGGAGAAGAACATGAACGAACCCAAGAATTTTTGGATACGGTGGCACCATATAAAACAGTTGCATCTTCTAAAACAAAATGGTTGCACCTTTCATGAACCTAATTTTTTTTACCTTACCACGGAGAAACAATACGGTGGCGTATGCCACCCCAACCACCCCTTTGGGTCAGTCCTTGGAGAAGGATGTGATGACGGTGAAGGGGCTGCCAAAGAAGGAGGGGCCTTGGTGATGAGTACCAAAGAAGGATGATGTGTTGATGATAGGAGGTTAATTTAACGTCTTAAACACTTATACACGTACTTTACAAACTTGTACAACACAAAAGTGCAAAATTACCAAGTTGTCATCATGTGACTTATGCACTAAGCCCATAATGAAAAACAAAAAAAACGTAACAATGATAACAGTTAGACAGTTTCCATAAAAAAAACACATAATTACATTTTTTGTAATTACGAAACTTTAGGGACTATATCTAGAATTTTCACAAATCCTTAGGAACCATTTTTGTAATTTATTCCATTAGTTATCTCATTTATTAAAATATGGTCTCACATGATTTAACCATGAGGAACAATAATTGGGGGGTACGGATTGGTTGAGCTGTTTACAGCTAAACAACTCAAGCTGTTTAGATGGCAGCTGGCAGTCAAACCACGACTCTCTTCTCTCTGTACCTTAAACCGACTTTTTTCCAAGCCGAGCCAAGTCATCAAAAAGTTTCTCTTTAACACTTTTGACTGCCCCTCATCGGCTCAGCGTGCTTACCACACGCCACTCGGCTCTTTCTATATATATGCCTCGCCCACAGATCTCCAACCATCAACTTCTATCTAAACCTAATCCCCAAATCTCATCGAATCCGATTCTCTCTGTTCTTGATTGAATAACCTCCGTGTGTTCTTGATTGAATAATCTGTATCTATGGCGGACGAATCGACGAAAACTAGAAGGCAGCCTAGCCGGTTACAGCGGAGAGCGCCGGCGTTGATACAGGTAACTCCGGTCGGTCACTGGAATGTTGCGATTCCTCTTTTATCACCGTTGGCTACGTCACCGGATGTGAAGACGAATCATGTTGATAATAGTAAGGAGGAGTGTCGAAGAGTTGTTAATAGTGATAATAAGATTGTGTCGGAGCCGGAGAAGGTGCCGATTGTGTATAAGAAGTGGCAACATCCGGCTGCTCCGTTCTATTACGAGACGGCGCCACCGTTATTGCAGTCGGTATGTACTGGTATTGTTGATATGAGTTGATGATGGATACAGATTTAGAGGATTTCATCATTGCAATTTGTATTTCTGATTCGTAGTTTCATAGAACCTGATCGCTTTTAGATCTAATGGTGAATGATTTCATTTTTTTTCTTCTTCTTGTTGTTCCCTCCCCGTTTATTTTTGATAAATTCTGATCCGAAGGAAATGGATCTCACAAGCATGAACAAGTCATCTCGATAGCGTGTAGGTTTAGGTCAATAACATTTGTTTTTTTTTTTGTTCCGTAGCATCTTGATCGATTAAATCTAATGAAACAACCAAAAATTCCATCAAGTTATGAACTTAAATCATCAGTGGAAATTGTATTTTAGTAGATTTGGTTTTTAGCACTTGATTTATATGAAATTGCATCTCAATGGAACCCTCAAAACCCCCCTCTAGTAGCTAAACATTCAAGCCGGTGCCAAACCTTTTACTGTCAATAGGGATTTGACATCAGTAATTTAGTAATCTATCAATTTTATCGGTTACATCTACTTTAGTTGGATGTATTTTTGTTGTGTTGTTCCGTCTCAATCTAATATCTAATGTTATGACAAACACAGAATGGTAAGTGTTTTTGGGGTGTTTGAGATTGCTTATAAAAGTTGTTTTTTAACTTATTTCAGTCTGGCACCGGTGATAAGTTGTTTTCTGGTGTTTGGATAAGAAGTAAAAAACTGTTTATACCGATGCCAAACCGATAATAAGTTGTTTTTGATAAGTTAATCCTTCCTGACTTATGAAAAACTGCTTATTACCAGTTTATAATTTTAACCCTGTTTTATTTAACTCCGGTTTGATACCACATAAGTTAACAAGCACTTTTACGAAAAAGCATAAGTTGTTTTAAATAAGCAATCCCAAACACCCCCAAAGGATGGTTATTTAGGTTCAAATCTATTGACTACTTCCATAGTGGATTTTTCGATATTCAACTTGGTGTCTAACATTCATCGCAAAAAGGTCGTGTGGGGTTTGAATCGAATCTAGGAATGAGCACATTTCTTTGTTGACCCGACAATCTTTCTTTTCGAGATGAGAAGTTTGGTTGGTTGGTTTATATGAAATCGATGGTTTTCATGAATGGGTTACAAGAAAACAAACACTGTCCATATCATACATTCAAAATAAACCAAACAACAAAAAGTAGAAGAATTTCAAAGAAATGGTTTTATGCGACACTTACTAAGGTTGTTAAAAAAACATTAATTTGAATAAAGAAAACTACAAATGCATCTTGGTTTTTGTTTGGGACTTAAAAAAAAAAAAGTCGGTAATAAAAATTATCAGTGTGTTTCTCAGTTTTTTATTTTTTGAAAAATGTAAAAAAACAAAAGAACTGAGGAACATCTTAATAAACATTTATATGGACGGTATATATACGTGTATACAAGTAATTTATAAGTATGGTTTGTCTAGTATGTACATGTGCATTTGCATAAAAACCAAGAAATAACCTCAATTAAATGTATGCATATATACATTCCGTCTAGATGCATAATATCAGTTTTTTATTTTTTGGAAGGTTTTCCCTTAAACCTTTCTTGTATAAAAATAACCTCATTTCCTAGCTTTTATGACACTGAAAATGATGTAAACTTTTATTTGTATATAAGGTTAATAAAAATTATCAGTTATCATATGACATCAATACATATGTAAAGTCTTTTTTACATATTAAAGTTGTTTGCTAGCCAAATCAATATTAACTATAAATTAAGATTAGTCTTAGATATGTAAAAATCTCTTCAATATGTATGTTATATTTTCTCTTTTTTTTTTCCCAGATTTAAACAACAACGAAGAGGCTCCGCAGCAATAGGAGCCGCAAAGACGATTACCCTTTCTCTTGATCTGAGGTGCGAAGATCAAAATATCTTTTTTTATCCTAGTTACAAATAAAAAACTGGGGCTACGACCCGGTTTTAGAGATTTCTTTATTATCTCTTCTTTTCTTTACTTTATCTTAGCACGAGAATTTATCATAACTGTTAAAGCAAATTCTTTAAATTTTTTAAAATAACATAGATGTTGAAGATACTCTTATATTATCTAAAGTTCAGACTCTGACTTCTATAAAATAGTGGGTGGACAGGATAATTAAGGTACATTTTTAGTCAAGTTTTACTCCAGATATGATTAACCATTTGGGACCATCCCACATGTAAAAGCAAACCTAAAGCCTAAACCTGAGAGATCATCTGGGCTTTATAAGAAACAATCCATTAAGCCCAATGTTTTATTTATCATTTGCACTTGCACTTGGGCTTAACATAGCCCTGAGATATTTTAATATCATTTGCTTTTATATGAGACCTTTTTCTTAGGGGTGTTTTGGATTGCTTATATAAATAATTTGTTGGCTTATTTCGATATAGCATCAGTAATAAGCACTTTTGAGGGTTTGAATAAACAACGTATACCAATGTCAAATTGGTAATAAGAAGTTTTTGAAGAAGTTAAACCATTATGACTTATAATAAGTTGATAAGTGTTTTTGTAAAAAAACATAAGTTGTTTCAAATAAACAATCCCAAACACCCCCTTAAAACAGAGAGAACTTTTTTGAAGGTTTTTTTTTTTGTTCTTATAATTTCTTTAAAATTTCTTCAAAATGGAAAAAAAATGAAAGAAAATGCTTTTTTTTTTATTACAAATTTAGAGATTTTTTTTAAAAATCCTCATTTTGTTATTGAATATTTTAATAATATAATTAAGGTTTAAATCTATAAAGTGAACAAGTTTTTTGTAGTATGATGTAATTTTCTTTTGGAGATTTTAACTTTTTTTATCCTCTATTTTTGGAGTAATTGTGAAAAACTGTTGGAGATGCTTGGAGTGATTTGTTATCTCATAAAATGAGGTATCTTGTGATCCGACTTTAGGTGCTATTAGTTCTTGTATGATTCATGTTAATCTCCAACAAACAATGTTTGTCGGGTCAAATATGTGTGTGTCAGTAGACGTGAATATCATAGATTTTGGTTGAACAAAACCCGAATCTTATAGTTACAAAAAGAAAAGTTTTCATAACAATCATGGATTGAGTTACTTGTTCTGTTAGCTAAAAAAATGCTTTAAAAATCATCTGGTTTTTATTGATCTCACTGGACTAGCGTTCAACCGAGTTAAACTCATGCATAAATTGTAATTTTACAATACACTACAAGATTGTTTGTTTGAATAGACATCCTCATCTGTAACCTCCTTAAACACTTATATGTGCTTGACCTTTGAGGTTATTTGGATATTCATACATACTGTTTAGATTTTAAACACGGGTTAAATATGTTGTCCCAATTTCAAAACGACTTTTGTGACGTTTCAACTCAAAACCAACCAAATATGCATAACATAACTTGAAATATAAGCATTCTTAACCCAATTATCTGGTGTGACTGTAACTAAAACTGACCAAAAATACCTAAAAATCGGGGATCTATTCAAAATAAAACTTAAAAAGATCCAATTACTTATGGCTAAGATCCGTGGAGACGGCTACATAGAAGCCCCAAATAGGTCTACTTCTGTAACCCAATTATAATAAGCCATTTTCAGGTCTTGTTTGGATTGCTGTATGATTAAGAAGACATAATCGATTGATGATTCAGTTGTTAAGACGTATGCTTTCATATTTTTTATTCAAATACAATTTGTTTTTTTTATATAAAATACATGAAATGAGAGAGATATATTGTATTTATTTTGATAGAAAAAAAGAAAAGAAATTGTTATATTTAATTAATAATATTGGAGAATAAATAAAGGGTCATAAATTAGAGAGGTTTGGAAGGTTGTTTCTACTACTACTTCACCATAAGTAGTGTTTGACTTGTCAACACCAAAAAGGTCCTACTTTCTGACCCCCGATCATGACAACATATAACACTTCCCATAAATTGGTGAACTACCTCACTACTCATATTTCTTTTGTCTACCAAAATTACACACCAATATATAATTAATATATATATATATATATCTAATTAAATGATAACTGTTTTGTTTGTTGGTAACCGTGAGATCCAATCTTAATCATAAATTACAAGTTAAATTAGAAAATTAATAATTTTAGTAATTTTAACTTAAAATATTAATTAAGAGCATTTTAGGAATTTTATAAATATCCTCTCTCATCTCTCTGGTGAATCTTATTCGGCGGACCTTATTCCAATAAACCTTATTTGAACACTAGATACACACTGTAATACCTACAAAGAATATTCACTGTGATACCCAAATGTACATACAAGATGCACAATGTGATATCCTTTGTAAAACAATGAAAATAATGAAAATACACACTATGATACATTTCATAAAACAAAGAAAATACATTATCTTACACGTGAAACATTGTGAACCTTATCACTATAATACACTTTGATTCACAAACGTCTTTAAAATATGTTGTATATTAGATAATTGATATACTAGGTAACTAATTTTAATTAAATATTTCCTTCTAAATAATTTAATTAAATATTTTGATTAGTTGTCAAAAATAGAATTACTAAATTACCCTTTTAGTTTATTTAAGAAATATATTTAAATATCTTAAACAAATGGTTTACATTGGATCTTACAATTACCACAAACTAATCAATTTTTCTTTGAACGAGCCTATATATATATATATATATATATATGTGTGTGTGTTTAATTATTTAAAAACTTTAAAGTTTATGAAATCCTTAACATCTATTTTAAACCATTAATATGAGATAATTAATGTTATTCTTTAATTAATATTATAAAGGAAATTATGTATTTTTTTTGTTTCGGATGACAACTCATAAATTAATTCTCTCTCTCTCTCTGTGTAAATAAATTTAATTAAATATTTTATAATATTCTAGTTTGTTAATAAATTTGAATTTTTTATTCTATTTGTGACATACATATGCATTGTTTTTTCTTTTGCTAAATAGTTTGTATCCGGTAGTAGTGATGGCTAAATCGATCCGACCCGGCTCAGGACCGTTGAGGACCGGGACCGGGATCGGCAAAGGACCGGCCCGGCCTGGGACCGTTAAGGACTGGTTATGGGACTAAAAACCAAAACCGGTTGGGTTTTTTGGTAGTTTCGTGGGACCAGGACCGATTATGGGACCGACTATGGAGCAGTTCGGCCCGACCCAAAAATTCAAATAATTTTATAAATAAATGTATTTTTAAATATTTTTATAATGTATTTTTATAAGACAATGTAATTTTAATTATATTAAAACGTATTTTTAAAGTATATTTGAGTGATCCAATTATAAATTTTATAATGTATTAAAAATATATATCATTAAA